TTTCTGCAGGTCTGAGAGCAGGAAACAATTTTGTAGCGTTGTCCTATGTTGTTGAAGTGATAAAAGTATTCTGTCTGCTTTCTAAATGTCTACAGTGGCCACACAAATGTCATTATCCCCAAATTGTGCAAATGTTAGTATTTAATGTAAATGTTCATGTATTTTTATTATGTTTGTGTGTGTGTCCTTGTTCAGGGAGTGTCTAAAAGGGACAATAGTGAACAGTCAAGATGCTGAGGTGTCCTGTCCTGACAAATGTGAGAGCAAGCTACTGGACAGAGAGATCCAAGCGGTGAGTGTAAAGCTGGAGAACAGGAAACTTTCAGCATGGGCAGTCAAGAAATCACAATCTTAAAGTTGATAGAGAAATAATAACATATAAAAAATAATAAGAATCCAGACGTGTTACAACTGTGACCACATTTTCATTTCAGTTGTTGCAGTAGACAATGATCACAGAAAATGGAAAATTAGCATATTAGCCTTTGACAGCGTAGGCCTGATGTAATAAGACATTTCACTGTGGACGTATGTCTGCGCTGCCATGTCGGTCTAATAAAAAAAATAAACAAATGGTTTCTGAAACTTCTTCTTCAAACCTGGCTATAAAATGTAAGAAAGAAAGTAAAATGATGTGCAATAGAAGTAAGTCTGCCGCCTAATAACTTCACGTCAGTTAGTCGCAAAAAAACAACTCTCAAACTCCATTTGGGAGTTGCGCCTTATCATTAGGGGATTGTTGCACAGAACTTTTCTCTTTTAAGGAAGTCACAGAGGGCACATTTGACAACAGGGAATACAGTACAGAGGTGATTTACGGTGGCTCTGATCAGGACTTTTACTCTGGGTCGACGACAAGTTGACTAGTAGCTTAAGCTAATGACTACTAATCGGCTAGGAAAATAGTAAGTCTGAGGCAGCCCTAAATAAAAGTTAAGCATGCGTTTCCGTCATCCTCAGAGAAACATGTGGCTTAACAGCACATTTTTAATCTTAATTATTTAAGAACATCTGTTCAAGTAAAGTAGAATGATTTCAACTACAGTAAATGGCAAGCCAGTCAGTGCAGGTGGGGAGATTTACTCAAATGTCAAATCGGCACATTTTAATAAAGATAAAAAACCCACATAATGTATACTTTTACTCTGTTACCATTATATGATCTTGGTTACAGCTGCTCACAGAAGAGGAGCACCAGCGGTTTCTGGAGTTGCGTCTGAGCATTGCAGAAAGCCGCTCGGAGCACAGCTTCCACTGTCAGACTCCGAACTGTCGAGGGTGGTGCATCTACGAGGATGAAGTCAATGAGTTCCACTGTGAACTCTGCGATGAAACCAACTGCATTCTCTGCAGGGTAGTTTTCTGACATTCACTGTTCTAACTGACTTACAATTTCTTACAGTGTAGTAATAACAGAAGCACCAAACAAAGTTGTTGTGTTTGCAGGCAATCCATAATGGCATGAATTGTAAGGACTACCAGGATGACCTGCGCATCCGAGCAGAGAACGACCAGGCGGCTCAGCAAACTAAGCAGATGCTAGAGGTAGGTCAGCCTGTGTTATTCTGTGATGATGTGGCACAGGAGTGCAGAGCTTTGCAGTCTATTGCACTTCTGATGCGGTTTGACAATAAACAGTTGTGTGCTCCTTAGTGCTTGTGGATCAGTGTGGATAGAGAAACACATTTGTAACAGTATCAGCCTTGTTACACATAAGCAAAAGAAAACAACACTACAATTCTGAACCAGTGCACTACCCAGTATGCCATAAACCAATACGGGAAGTTTCTTTTTTATATCCTGTAGCAGTCAACTAAAACACTGGTAAAAATGACATGTTAATATTTTACAATTTATAAGATATCGCATAGAGCATTCATTTATTTAATCTTGTCTAATGGCCTGTAAATATTTTACGATGAATCATGAATAAAACAGTATTGGAGTGTGCACTGCATTTGCTTCTAAGATAGTCCTTTGTTTACAAACTGGGAGGGCTGGTGGAGTGTCTGTTTCATATACATTTGTTTTAAGTGCTCTTAAGTAAGGTTCGTAAGTCCATTTGAGGGATGTTTTCCTTCCTACAATCTGCAGTTATTTCGACTTCCAATCCTGCCCAAATAATGTTTAAAAAATGTGTTTTCTAAGTGTCCTGGCACAGACACTGGCTTAGTTAGTTGTATGTTTGATATTTTACTATCCATTTTAAAATCTCAGGGTTTGTGTTCTTAATTCACACTGATTCCTTCAGTTTGGTCCATGCTTTCTTAGACTTAAAGAAAAGTGACCAGTTGGTTGTCCCATGATACAAGATCAGCATATTATTTTTGAGTTTGATGGATGACCGGTATTATGTTACTGTGTAATGTTGCTGTTTTGTGTACTTTTTTAAAATCACCATCAGGCAAAATGCAACATTATTCAGTGTTCATTCTCTGTTGATTGTAGTTGTATTTTTGGGCATGTCTCCCTATGGCTACTTTACATTTTCATTTTACTGAATTTCAATACAGAACCTGCTACAGAATGGAGAGGCCATGAAATGTCCGCGGTGTGACATCATCGTCCAGAAAAAAGACGGTTGTGATTGGATCTGCTGTTTGATGTGCAGGACAGAAATCTGCTGGGTCACCAAACAAGCTCGCTGGGGACCAAATGTAAAAACATTCACTTACAAAACAGTTTTTCAGTGTTTGTTCAGTATTCAGGAAAGTTAGCTCATGTGTTTGAGCTGTGCATATAACCTTCTCCTTTTGTCGTATTTTACAGGGCAGCGGCGACATATCTGGGGGCTGTAAATGCAGAGTGAATAATCAGCCTTGCCATCCCAACTGCCAAAATTGCCATTGAGGCAAGCACACTAATGAACACACATACACAGCTGCAAGCGCTTGCACTGTCTGAAGAAACGCAGACCTCAGTCATTGCATATGCTGGTAGCTTAATGCTGGCTATATTAATGTGTTCTTTCGATTTATTTTACTCAGTTTTAGTCTTGGTTTCAATGGTATAGTCACTGAGACACATCTACAAAAATATGATATACACAAGATATACAACCTGCCAGCTATTGTACATCTCTGCAGCCAAGGATAATTACTGTCAGTGTTATAATGATACAAATATGACGAATTAATGCTTAATATATGGTTTGACCTCTGGCTACTACTTTAATGCATTTTGATGAGCCAGCAATTATACTGTGTTTACTTAAGTAATGAGTAATTGATCAAAGACCATTAAAAAAAAAATAATAATAATAAAATACAGTAAATAAGAATGTCACTCTAAAGCTAACAATTACATGAATATGGAATTGTTTCCCGTGTGTAGTACGCTACAACTCATTAACTAGAACTGACAATAACTTCATAATTTATGAATGATTAAAAGTGGAGTAAGCGATTTGGAGAAATTCCAGACCATAACAAATACCATGATATATAACAAATAAAGTAGCTAACGTTAGCAAAGTTGTAGGTTAGCAAACTGTTACTAAAGTTTCTGGTGCGAAGCTAACATGCAAAGAGGACGAGATAGCCCCAGAGTCAACACACCAGATCCAGACGGTGATACAACTTTTCTGCTAAAACAGCATGTCTTGGAGAACTAGAAAGAAAGCTGAATGTCAGTGGGCAAGTCATCTAACGTTACCTGATGCACAAATCATGGTTGGAACTGCTGGATAGTGTTGTGTCGATCAGTCCGAGCCACTTTGTTTCCCATTTAGAGAGTCAGGTCTGTGTAGAAACACCAGATGTTCAGTGCACACACATAACGGACAGCGAGCGGCCGTGAGGAGAGATCCGCCGAATTTGACAAAAATAATTCTATTTGATTGGAATCGTTTACCGCATCTTTTAATGGTTTGTTTTCCCAAATGATCATCTAGACTGATCATCAAACACCAGAACTAAAGTGTTTTATATCCTTTATATGTTTGATGTTTTAGCTTGATAAGTGACCAAAATGATAAATGTTATAAGAATTATGACAGCAATAGGTTTTCTTTCAGTCGACTAATCAGACTGTGGTGAAGGATGTTTTAAGTGTTTACATTGAATGAATGTGCTCAACCAAGCTGCTCTGATGCACTTAATAACTTAGTATCAGGATGAAATATGTTGTTATGGACAAATGCTGGATTATTCAGGTATTCAAGATTTTATCTTTATGTCTTAATAACTATATTAACCTATGTACAGAAACATTCAATTTTGTTTATGTCTTGTAACTATGAAGTTTGGTGGGTTTCAGTTGGTTGTTTTTTTGAAGTGACATGCCTTAACTCCAAAGCATAATAGCTAAAGATGGTAAGTTAAGCCTGACAACGAATAGTTCAGTCTGAATAAAGTTTAGTCAATGTAGTGATGAGCCTTCCTGTTTAAGTGTCTGTAAATGGCAAATCTACCATTAGAAAGCAGTTTTTAAGGAAATGTAAAATTGACAGTTTACATGTTATCAGGTACATAGGAATTAGTTTACACCATGAGTAACTGTGTCCAAACTAAGGATGGGGTTAATTTGTATTGAGACTGCTTACCGATCCGATTCTTTATCAATACCACTATCGATACTTTATTATTATTTAGTGATGGTTATTTGGTAAGACCAGACCCAACGGGCATGAGGTAGGCCTGCACAGTATGAGGAAAATATTCAGTGTGTGATAACGTTATATATTGACATGACATATCACTTGCGATAAATAAACATATTTAACTTAGCTTAACCCTCACCGTATTCCACCGCGACGGCGCAGCCTCTCGCTCTGCTGCAGAGGCGTGTGTGTGTGTGTAGGAGCCGACTGAGAGCAGGCAGAGACTGCAACCTGATGATTTTCTTATCTATTGCGTTTAAATCACATTTGACACTCGAGACATAACGTTACATCATAGCCAGCAAGTCTCGATAAGCTCGAACCTTACTGATTTTCAGGTTTGGAGAAATTTTGGAACCAGGTCTTGATCCCCATCCCTAGTCCAAACAAATGCGTCTTAACAGTTTCACTCTAGTTTATTAGCATTCTCTTGTACATCTTTACATTAGTATGACAGATTCAATGTAAGAAAATAAACAAAAGGCAGATAAATCATTTAGTGCAATGAAAAGAAATAAAAACCACTGAGTGCAGATACATGGTGCATTACAATACTGCCGAAAAACTATACTCAGGCACCTCTAAGCGTCCTTGGACACGTTCCAGGTCACCTTCATTTTCAGATCATTTTGTAGATCCCTCACCAGCTGAATCAGTGGTTCACTACAAAGGCAAGAAACCAATCAGCCTTAATTTTCGGTTCCTAACACAGCAAGAACAACTTCTCTCAACGTGGCACTCAATGCGCTCAACTCAAGTGAGAAGTTTAGTTGACTGGTTGTTGTGCCGTAAAATGTAAGTGACCTCGAATTCTTCTGATGAGCAAAACACATAAAATATTAGACAACTCAAATTAACTACCTTAGAATGAAGTGCTCTGACAACCTACTTGCTATGTATTTTCTGATAAGAGTTTAGGCTATTCAGGTGATGGTATTCTGCGGTTATTCACTGTAACCTGAGCAAGCCCCTACTACTTTAAATATGTGACCGAATGAAAATGAGCTGAACTGCCTGTTAAATGGAAATGCTACACTCAAAGCAATCCAACCTAACTAATGTGTGTGTAAGTTAGCATTAATTTGACATTTGTGTTAGTTATGTTAGCATTTCAACCACTGTGTTTTTTTTTCTGGAAAGTGCCTATGAAAATAATTTCACAAAACTAATGCAGCTAGAGCAATCTGGGTCTCAAACTGTGCCAACACATGGACTACAGTGTCCAATTGGTTTTACTTGCTATTTATCCCAGCTTTGATATTTTCTGTGACCAGGCAGTGAGTGAGTGTGCTGATAAACTACACGGAGAGATTTAATCTACTCCAGGAAATGTGACGCAGAAAACATACTCTGGTCATTTGAGGCTATGAAACACAGACACATTTTTTAGGTTGTGCAACTAAATAATTAGGTGAAAATGCAACTGGAAAGCTCTAGTTAAACTATTTCAATATGGCTGATTTATTTACTTCCTGTACTCCATTCTGGGACCTCATCCTCAAATTCAAGATTGTTGAGATACAAATAAAAATTCAAATGTGTAGTCAAGGGTGTCAACTGCTGACATGTTTTAAAGACACTCGGCCCCAGAACGGTCTTGACCAAAAAGGCGTATTCAAACAACTTAAAGTGACAAAAAGACCTACAAACATAATAAAATTGTGACCTTAAAAGGTGCCTGTGTGTCATGATCATATCTTTACACAGCTGCTTACATACCTATAAATTAAACACAGTACATTATACAAAAAGAGGGTTCTAACAATCCTCTATTTGGTCTCTGTCCAGGTATCAAATACATGACAAATAGGTTTGCACGCACACACACACACACACGCACACACACACACACACACTTAATTGGCAGCAGTTTCAAGTGTAGTGAGTTCACCAAGCATAAATCTCTTATGTGAGCATAAATCAATATCAGATTATCGTAATACCATATATAAATAAACTTTAATAATGACACCGTCAGTAATAGTAATTAGAATTACAGTCCCTCCATTATAACAGGGTGGATTCTTCATTTCAGAACACCAGCAGTTGTTGCTGTTATACTGGTGTGCACTCTTCAGTTACTTTTAAAGGACCTTCAGCTGGGGCCTTCATAGGATGTTAAGACATCCTAGGAGGCGAGAGAGGAGCGTTAACGTTCCGTTTAGAGAGAACACTCAATGTTCACTCAGTGACAGTGTTATCGACTGCAGGGTTTGTGGTTTAATTAATTAAAGGGTTCTTGGAAACAGACCCACCAGCTAGATTCAGTCAAGGACAGATAGGTTAGAACGTAGGGGTAAAAGAGGAGCATTTCAAGGAAACAAGTCCAGTTTGGGGGCCCACTCCAGGGCAGTATTGACCACAGCGAGAGCTGCTGCCCCTAAAGCCACCGTCAGACCCATGACAGCCAGTCGAACAAAGCGGCGTGCTGCTGAAGGTTGGGCCACTACAGTGTTTGCTGCTGTGCTCTCCAGCGCAGCCTGTTTCTGTCTGCGTCGGCGTCGGAGAACAGAGTCTGGTCGCTGTTGAGTGGACGCAAGGTCAAAGTCCTTAAAGGTAGAGCTTGCCATGCTTAGGAGTAAAAGAGACAGAAACATGAAGAGACAGAGAAAGACAGAAAAGCAAAGTGTAAATGAAAGAACGGTGACTTACTGGAGTTGTTGAGAAGCACAAGAAAGTAAAATATGAACATTTTACTATTTATATAACAATAGCGTGCAGATGTAGAAGCAGAAAAACTAAACATTCCTACCACTAAGGCAGGTAGCGTCAGTAACGGTAAGGTGGAAACCCCTAAGGAGTTAACTACCTTTCATGTGAGGCAGCCTCTCTAGCCAGTTCAGATGGAGGGAACTGGACAAAGAGGTCTCCTGCACGGCTGATGAGTGTCTCATATGGCAGGTCCTGGGGAATCTGAGATAGCAGGTGATGAACCATGGCCATATCGCATTCACACTCCAACACTTCCTCCTCTCTGTACAGTACGATCTGCAACACAAGTAGCAACACATGGGGACATATTTGTAACTGCACATTGGTGACTGAACAGGCTTTTATCCTTTCAGAGATGAAAGGACATGACTGAGATGATCAGGTTAGCCAAAATAGATTTGTTGTCATGGTATAATACAGCTGCAGTGACTTGATTGTGTGGGGATAGACCAATCAGCCATGGATAGTAATGGGTCAACTGCTCAATCAACAATCAAAAAAACAACAGAACACCTTATATCTGCCTTTACCTTTGTAAATGCTGGAGTGGCTACGGTGTCATCACATTTTATCAACCTACACTGTCGACAAAAATCGCCCACTTACTGAACAATAAAATTAGCAACATTAGTGACGCTATTAAGGTCAATACGACCTAAAACCTCTAAAAGTGTGAGAGCATTTCACTCAGCCATAAAGGTTGTGAATTGCAACATTTGCAAAGCATCACTGTGGGTTGCATTCAAATTAATCTGAACAATTCATGGGTTTGTTTCATCTCATTTGAACTTGACCTTTGGGGAACAAGTAACAGTGTTGTGAAACTGTGTATTAAAATGCAATCTGTATCTGGATAAGTTACCCGGTATTATAACCAGTGCAAAATGTGTTGCAACTGAACTTGCCCCCGGAAGTTTCAGTGCATTCTTGTTATCCTCACTGAGATCTGACCTCTGTGCTCCAAACCTGCACGTTTATAAATTGTTTATAACGATTAACTTTATAAACTTTGTGAAAAGTTGTCTACAACAAATTCTTAATTATTGTTCCCTTTTGTAAATTCGGAAAATCCACTACATTAAGTTATTCCTTTCTTTGTACAAAAATATTTTGGCAGTACTGGCGATAAGCTACTCTGTCTCTAGATAAATTATATGCCTTGTTAACAACCAGCTGCACAGGAGCGTGCAATGCACACCATTGCACACGGGTATTTCTTACTGTAGAAACCTGTTTGGTCCATGACATTTTTTTTGTTACAACAGAAACATTTATTAAAATATTTACTTTTGAATGCAGTATTCTTTTTATTGTCAGTACTGTTAATTAGCACATGCCTAAAACAACCTCAAGCCAAATTTAAAAGCTGCTAGCTAAATAAGAGGCACTGAATAATTGTGCAATTCATAATTCGAATAGTCGATTATTGATTTAAATAATCAATAGATTATTCGACAGTCAAAATAGTTGTTAGTTGCAGCCCTAAACAATAAAAACAGACAATATAGCCTTAAGCCACAAAGGATTCTTGCACAGTGAAAATACTAATGCGATGTGTATGCAAAGCCTTGAAATAAAAAGGAAATCTCTCACCTCAACTGGTAACTGATAACTAGTAACTCAACAAATGTAGCTCATACAAATGTTCTTGCCATAATTGACTGAGTAGACTTAGTTCATGTACTGTACATGAAAGATACGTTTCTTAATCAGTCCATCTAAAATGCAACAAACTATGAGTGCTGATTATAGGAAACTCACCACAGCAGCAAAGTAGATGGGCATCAATGGATGGCAGGCCAGGAAGAAGTCATACAACCGGACAACATGGCGGAAGTCTGACAGAACGTGGCCAAACCAGGTGATCAACCAACTAAGAGCAAAGACTGTACCCACCTCAGCCCTAAGAATCAATCAACACATGACAGAGATCAACTTACATCAGCACACAAAAACTGTAATGTGGGGTCATGCTCCAGTTTGAGGACAATGTATGCCTCAGGCTCAGGAATGATTAAAAATGGGAGTTATGCTATGGGATCTGAACTGAAACATATAAAAAGGTATCAGTCATGATAGCCCTCCAAGCAAACTACTTAATGTCCTGTGTTATAAAGCCTTTACAGATGCACAATCCTACACAATATTAGGCAGGTGATCATACCGTTACGGGTGATCGGTGTAAATGGTATTACATTTCCTAACCATAAGGAAATCTGTGCTGGCTATGAGCCTTTTAATATTCTTAACGTTCCACCTTTATGAAAAGCTGCCTTAACTTGCAAATTATGTTCACACTGGATATAATGACAGGATGGATTTTTCTTTTTGCAAAGTTTTGTGTCTTATAGGTAACATCTAATAAAGACAGAAAATCATTTGATTTGGACTAAAACAGTAGTCTTACTGTTGCATGAAGTCATGCACATCAGGGTTGACCCTCTCAATGATGGGCATCAAATAATTAAGAATGTGTTTTGTGTTGTCCATGGTAGGATCCATGAAGTCCCTGAAAAAAAGAGGACAAAACGGAGAGCATTTTTAGAGCCTCCTTCAACAGTGGTTGAAGGAGGAAGGCAGGGAGGGAAAGGATATTTTTTATTCTGACATGTGGACACATGACAAAGAAAACCTGAAAAAACAGGTAAAGTTGCTGTAAATGTATCATTCATATATATATATATATATATATATATACACACACACACACACACACACACACACACACTAAACACCTGAGGTGATGTGTTGAGAGCTTTTCCACAAGAGCAGTTGCACGGCGCTCTCCAAGGACCAATAAGAAGGTGACAACAATGTCATGGTATCCTTGGTAGTAGTGCAGCTGGGGATTACGTTTCAGAACTACGAGGATGATGTCAATTAGCTCTTCCTGGAGACCCTCCCTCTGCTCATCTGGCATTCCTGTACAAGTCCACACAAAATAAAATACAGGTGTTAGTTTAAATAAGCTTTGGGTATGTCTGTACATTAACTTCAATCCATCAGCAGCAATAAACTTTTTCATAACCAATTCGGTTATATTTGGTTCATGCAAACTTATACTGGTGTATTACTGACCAATGCAGAGACAGTGCTTATTGTATTATACAACTCAGTGACGTGAACAATCTGGATGTTTGCAAAGTCCCTTACCCAGAAACACAAACCGGAAGGTGAGCGTATTGAGAGGATCAAAGGCAGAAACTGATGAGGGCCTTGCTAAACTTCAGTAACACTCCTCAACAATAAATGTGTCGCTCAGACACCTTCCAGACCTGGTACAGAGACTTTTATGATCAATCTGTCATTGATGTATGGACAGAGACTTATCTTTGGACATCGTGGATTTATCCTCAGCATAGAATAAAATCTATAAGCTCCACTGTCCTTTCTTTATAACACTCTGGACATTAAGGCAGCTGTCAGGTTAGCAACAGTTGCACAAAAACACTTACTGTGAGCTACATTACTGCAGTAATCACTGTTTAAACTAATCTGTACAAAACTCATCAATGAATGTAAATGTAAATGCTCCGTACTTGTATAGCGCCTTTCTAGTCTTTTCGACCACTCAAAGCGCTTTTACACTACATCTGCATTCACCAGTCACACACATTCATACACTGAGCCTAAGTGCTCAAACGGAAACTAACATTCACACTCACTCATTCGGGGTTCAGTATCTTGCCCAAGGACACTTCGACACGCAACCAGGGGGAGCCAGGGATTGAACCGCCAACCCGCTCAACCTCCTGAGCCACAGCCGCCCCAACATGAACAGTAACTTTCATATTTTAGTCGCACTGATTGGAACATTCCTATCGTATTTATCATACTGGAGATAATGTGACTATTTTTGAGTGATGATGACTGTGGTGCAGCTGAAACAAAGAAATATAGTTAAAAAGTGAGTTTTTCATTACTAGCTGCATAGTCTGAATGGGGTTTGATAGTATTTCATAAAATACGAAATGAGCAAGATTTTATTCATTCACAGTCAGTTTGAACCTAGACACATTTTCCACTGCAAAAAAATCATTAATAGGCTAACCTACTGAGTGGGACTGTGACTCCACAATCACAGGTCCATGAGTAGGCTATAGCCTAAACTATGTCTAATCTGTTCAATTAATATTTTCATCTTCAGTTAACCTATTGCCAACAGCATTTTGTTCCGTCAGGTTACAGCTGAATAAATACATCAATACATCATAAGCTGAACTCAAAGACCAAAGACTTTATGTACACAAAAGGTCTATTTCTCTCATTGTTCACATATCTGTGTTAGTGAGCACTTCTCCTTTGCCGAGATAATCCATCCACCTCACAGGTGGGTGGTGGATGGTGTCGAGTGGCTTTTTATTGTGGCCAGCCTAAGCCACACCTGTGAGGTGGATGGATTATCTCAGCAAAGGAGAAGAGCTCACTAACACTGATTTTGACAGATTTGTGAACAATACTTGAAAGAAATAGACCTTTTGTGTACATAAAGAAAGTATTTGGTCTTTGAGTTCAGCTCATGATGAATAGGGGCAAAAACAAAAGTGTTGAGTTTATAATTTTGTTCAGTATATATCAACAAAGAAAGCAAAGCAGACCAGTCCAGAGAATTTGGTGCTCAGGACTGGTCCACCACAGTTTGGTTGTGCTGGTGTGTTCAGTTGTGGGTGTATCAGTGTTTCTGGAGGAACCTACACACAGCAGGGCTTCATGAAACACTTCTCTGAACAGGTAAGGGTTCTACTCACCTGGTGGGAACCTCCGCAGTGAGCGCTGGACATCCAACAACACCTGGTTGTAGTCCTTGTTATTCTCCCGCTCTACTTTTTCTGGACAAAAGATGTGAGCATCAGCATTACCATAACTTACCCTAGTCAAATACTGTATGTGGGGCAGCTTGCACCTGCTAGGACTCTGTCATGAATAGTGGGAAAGGAATAGTATGTGCGATGGCCTATGTAGCTGACATCTGTTTGTGCATAAATGTAACGTTGGCTAACATAATACCTGGCTCTTGATCGAAGATGTGAGGGGGGACGTTGAGAAGCCGAGGCCAGACTTGACACCGTATCTCATCAGTCAGCAGTCCTCCTTCACTGATAGCCATCCTCCTCAAAGCTGCCACATCCACTGGAATCACACTAAGGGCCTGCGTGATGTCCAAAATTTTCCTCTTCCGTCTGGTGTCCCAATCTGAGAGACAAAACGCCGTGTTTAACTGCTGCTAGCTAGAAGTTAACCTGTGTTTACTTTTATCTTGCAAAAGATCGCGTTCATTTTTCAAGCAGCTAACACATTTGCTGAGGTTATGGAGGACATAAATTAGTTGGCCAGCTCCAGCAACAGACACAAGCGATCACGTTTTGGGCATTAAAAACAAGCAGCTGAAATACCCCAAACATTTGATTAACTTACCCATATTGAAGAAAGCTAACGTTAACTTAGCTTTAACTCACCGTTAACGTTACCTTTTTTCCCATTCACAGGGGACGTAGCACCAACACTTCTAGAGTTCTTCATTTTTCCCCTCCACTTCTTTGCGTGCCCTTGTCAGATAATATTTTTAGCCATCTTCTTTTGTTTGACAAGCTAGCTGTCTAATTAGCGAGGTTAGCCTCCATACAACACACGGCCCGATAACGTTAGCTATCCAAGTTAGCTATTCAGTGTTAGCCAAGTTAAAGCTAACGTTTGTTATCAGGCTAGAACGACGCTGCTCTGGTTCCGAAGATATTTTCTTCAGCAACACAGCCATCATTATTCGGATCACTGACACACGGGTCAACAATCATGAAACACCGCTCAATGCGGCTACATGTTTACACTGACGGAAGCGACCAACAGAATAGATCAGCTTTAGCTAGCCTCCCCGCTCAGACGGCATGATGACGTAGGGTCGAGGTGATGGAGGGAGGCGTCCCTTGCTGTGTTGTCGATCAAACAATAATAATGATAAAGTGATAATATTTATTACTTTATGTATTTGATTGGTAGATAGATGGTTTGATAATTGTTTGGTCGATTGATGGATTGATTTGTTAGGCATATGCTATTTCCAATGGGGAAATATGCTGCGTTGGGCTAACGTTAACGTTACTCATTTACCTTAATTGAGTATTTGCATTGTTTTCCCTACTTAATTGGACATCTTCCACTCTACTACATTCCAGAGGGAAATACTGTATTTTTGACTTACATTTGCTTTATTTGACAGCAATAAATAGGCTAGAATAACACTGAATGCACGTTAAATGAAACACATTCATGTATCAGTAATAATAATCCTAATTCAACAATTGCCCATGTTTGCTATTATGATTGGAGCCATTATGCTATAGGCCTATAGGCTACTTTAATACTTCAATTACTTTTTGCTGATAATGCTGCATAGTTTTACTTCAAAATCAAATAATTTGAATGCATGGATTTTATTTGTAATGGAGTATTTTACCACTGTAGTATTAAGTAAAATCTCGGAATACTTGTTCCACCGAGCCAGACCTGTATCTGTATCCTGCCACTCTCGCTGTGGGCTGCTAATGAATAGCCATAGATAGGCTACTGAATAAAAACTGAAATAATTTGTTGTGTGCATAGGTGTTATTCTCGTGACTCTGAGTCATAAAGCCTTTGCTGCTGAGGTGTGGTGTGTTCTGATGAAACGAAAACGAAAATGACGGAGCATTTAAATAGCAGCTTCCTGCACCAGGCAGTGTGAGCAGCGGGGGAAGCTGAGGCTGAAACTCCCGACTGAGCTGGATAGATGCTGTAATAATAACAGCACGGGCCTGCTTCCTTTTACAAGCTTTGATGTTGGTGGTGATATTGAGTGGATTTCAGTTGCGGTAAGTTATTTCTTTCTTTATGTCGCGGTTGGGGAGAAGGAAGGTAGAGACAGCTGGTTGAGTTATTATGAAATGTGAATGAAATTTAGGACTGATAATAATAATGACAAAACATGTCCGCATAATAAATGTATAGAATCATTGCGGAGTAGGCTACAGAACATGAGAAATTAGAATAAACAAAAGGCTTTTAACAGTCTAGCCTGTTGGGTTAGTAGGCTACATGTAAAGCCTCAGGGTATTTGAGAGGATCCGTTAAAATATGTCATGCAACCACAACGAAAAGCTCCTTTCCGATTTCTGTCGAAAGGAAACCTACACTAGATATTATGCAAGTCCTTCGTGCATCCAGTAGAGGGCACTCCCTTCGTATGGGTAAAGTCATTGCAAATGCAAGCGAAGTACACTCTCAACAAGTGTTGGAATAGTATGCGTTTTAATTAAAAAATGTCACACATTTCAACTTTCAAAACTTACAGAATAGTTCAAATGAAGCTTGCAACTATTCCATTCAAATGCACACCACACAAAGTAAAATTTTTCTCGTGAGAATGAAGAGACAGGCAAGCAGACACAATGGTTGCTTCTTTTTCCTCAGAAGGTATAAACAGTGAGATCACTCCTTATCCTCATCCTCCCTTATCTGACTCCAACACTCCTGTGCTGTGACCTTGTAAATCAGACTGACAAGAGTGAGAAGTATGAATAGAACACAGTGCAGTGAAAGTATAACCACTTCTAATGTGTTTTTCTGGATTTATAGGCTACATAAATTATGCATCCTTCAAATTGCTGTGTAATCATGCTCAAAATGTGTTGTTTTCACTTTCACCTTATCATTTTATGCCTCTCAAAAATCATCAGTGTCACCAACCTAAATTTCAAAAGCTACCACATGCGAGACCATGGAAAGACTGACTTTAATAATGGGGAGAAGAGGAGCTAATAATGGTAATTATACAGGATGAGAGGCAATCAAGTACAAATCTAGCAAAGTATTTGTTAGTATATGAATGTTGTTTTTTCTCCCAGGTACTGATACTGGCCAAAATGAAAATGCTAGAGGAGGAGGCAGAGGGAGAAGACAAGGAGGGGCACAGGGAGACAGGGTGAGGGGAACAGGGGTCAGAAGAAGAGCGCAAAGTCATGGGCGAAGTCAAGCTGAAAGGGAGGAGACAGATGGAGGAGGAGGGGAAGGGATGCGTGGGAGAGGCAGAGGAAGAGGGGGAAGCACACACCAAGGAAGAGAGGGTGAAAGAGGTGGTGGAAGACAGGGAGGAGGAGCCAGACAGAGAGGAGGAGGGAGGGGGAGAGGTGGAAATGGAGGAGGAGGAGGAGAGAGAGATGAGCCACGAAGAATTGGAGAGCAAGGTGCAGCTGAAAGAGAAGGAGAGAGGAGGGGTCCAGCAGAAATTGGTAAAATGAGAGGAGGACATAGTGTGGACAGAAGAGGAGGCAGAGGGGGTGAGAGAAGAGATGCTGTGGGAGACAGACAGGGGAGGAATGGAGGGAGATCAAATTCTACAGGCAGAGCCGGGGCACCACGGGGTCATGGGCTGGGCTTTAAAGCAATGGAAGAACTCTCTGGAAAAGACCCATCTGTAGTGGCCATCACCCTGTCCTGTAACCCTGCCCTACGAGATATCCTGAGTGGGACAACAATGAGACCAGACCTTGTGGAACTCCTCTCCCTGGTGCTGAGTAAAGCATTCAAATCACGGACAGACCGGGGCACCCTGCAGCACCTGGCTGGCATCATAAAAGATTCAGGGTTCTTCCGCACCATCCTGCCCCACTATCTGGTGGGCATGGAGTCAGAGTTCAACCCCGTCCGCAGGGAACAATACCCACGACATCTGGAAAACATCCTGGCTATTCTGTCAGAGGTAAACAGAGGAAGGAATGATCAAAAAAACCAATACGTTAGTAAATTCAGCTAAAGGATAAATGAAGGAATACAAGAAAATTAAAGTTGTTGAATAATTGAGTTGTCTTTGACAATTCACAAATCTCTCATGTGAAATAACCAACAATGTTCAAACTTTTATTTATCAGTTTGTGTTCTTGTAGAACTTCCATGCCTCTTGTAGCAAAGAAGCTAATATACATGAACTAATTATTCTCGATATCTGGTTATTAGGTCCTCAGCATCTTCCCTGCTAGTTCTGTCCAGGCAGTGAGTTTGCTGCTGACACTGCTCCAGGCCTCCATCAACAGCCTGAGGGCGTCAGGAGTGGACATCCAGCATCAAATGGAGGAGAGTGTGGAGGGTGTTCAGGGTCTGATCAGACACCTCCAGGAGAGATCCAGGGAGGGTACCCTGCGCTCAGACAGAGACACTTATGCCCTCCTACCCAATAACCCAGGTAATGGCCACTTGCAGACATCTCTAGTGAAATGCTTTTAAACATTTTGATATCCTGCCCTGGAACCAACACTTCACAATTAACCAGAAAAAGAGTTTTATAGATATGTAACTGAAACTCCCACTCTTTCTAACCCAGGTGAAGAAGAGCAACAAAACTTCAGGACCATACCCATCTACCCAACTCCTGAAGAGTTCCACCAGGACCACAGGCCCTTCCTTAGACCCAACCTCACCTCTCAGCGCTATACAAACACCCACCTCTACCTTGACACACACTTCCGGCTGCTGAGAGAGGACTTTGTACGGCCACTCCGTGAGGGGATCCAGCAATTGCTTCGGAACCAAATGGGAAGGGAAGGAGGAAGTGATAAGTCAATGAAGACGAAGCGCTTTGATGATATCAGAGTGTATTTTGACACAAAACTGATGGTGCCCAAGTGCACGTCGACTGGACTTGCCTACATAGTTCAGTTTGACATTCAGCCACTTAAGGTTAGCCTCTGGATGGATTTAGATGTTACATTTAGTGTTCATATGTCATTATACAATCAAGCATATCATTCAAGAGATACACTGGTATTTTGCTTACTGAATGGAAAATGGTTGTATATTGACAGTACTTTCCCCATCTATCCTACAGTTTGTGCGCTGGCAGAACTCGAAGAGGCTGCTCTATGGTTCCCTGGTCTGCCTGTCGTGTGATAATTTTGAGAGCTTCTTGTTTGCTACAGTGTCAGATCGAGATCCCAATGGCCTGCAGAGGGGACAGGTCCAGATTACCTTTACTGAAGAAAGCAGAATCAAGCTGGCCAGTATTCAGGTGTGGCAGTAATCTGTGTTCAACAGCTGTTGATAAGCGCAGCATGCACACAGTTGCTAAGGAAATTTGATCTTACAGTCTAATTTCAGACACCTAAGCTACAAAATCTACAACTGAAAAGTGCTTAGTGGTGCCAGTTTATTTCGGTACATTTAGTTAAAAAACGGTCAGGTGTTTCGAAAATTTAGTCTACTCTCACTAATGTAAATTAGGTGGAAAAAATACTCACTGTAACTGTATAGCACCACAAACAAAAGTCGAATCAAAACCTCACCAAAACTGTTCTGTTCCTAAGGATAGGTGCAGGGAGGGGGAATTTATGGTTATGGTTTTATCTAAAATGGATATACAAAGAACTAAACTCATGATATCTCTATCTACACAGAAAGGGCAATTGTTCCTGATGATTGAGACCACTGCCTACTTTGAGGCATATCGGTATGTTCTAGAGGGCTTACAGGAGCAGGAGGAGGACAGCTTGCCCTTTCAGAGGTAGGAGTATGTCTGTGTGTAAAGCATGTGTGCTATGGAGGAGTTTCAAGCCTTGCCGTCAAGGTCACAGTTTTTGTATAATCCCACAGCACGCCCAAAACGAGTTCACATATTCAAAGGACAGCGGGGTACAAAGCAAGTTCAGCAATCACACTTTTAATTGGCATGAATTAATTATATCGCCGCAGTATTCCCAAAATGCTATCACGCATGGATGAGTTCAAAAGTTTGGTTATTGTCTGCACTCCCAGTGCCCTTCATGGACACCACAAAGTAATGAATTATATGAGACACTTTGTCGGCCATCTGTCGCCCAGAACTTTCTTATGGGAGTGCCTGAAACAACTTTAAACTGTTTTGGGAGTTATTGATAACATACATTTATTTATATTATATATATATATATATATATATATATATATATATAGCTCTCTTTTTTATCTATTGTTTTTCTTGATGTTTTGCTTAATGTTAGGTGCTAATTTGGGTCAGCGTTGCAGTAAAAATTGACAATCATCTACAGTTTTTCCTGGTAAATCTTCAAACAAGCCCTAGTTCATCTAGGGGCTATTCTCCAGCTCTCCCACTGATTTCCTTTATTTGTCATAACTAAATACATGTGTTTGAGCTTGCATTTAAGGACGATGTCAAATCACACATTCTTCCTCTTATAAATGAAAAGCTGAATTCATAGGCAACAAAACGCACCACACTCAGGGGCTTTTGCAGCTGATGCCTTGCTTGGTCTGGTATGACCAGTAGCTTATGATTGCTACTGTAAGCCAACTTTAGATAGGTAATTGACATAAATGAGTCAGTCCAACTGTCCAACATCCTCCTTTTACACAGATAGTACACACTAAAAGATATAATCCTATCCATAATGCTTTCAGGTACATCGTGGAGTGCAGCACAGATGTGCACCCCCCAGCTTATCTGCAAAGAAGAGATATCTATGACCTGTCATCCATTGCTGACCCTAACTACAAGGACAGTGTACGGCCCTTTCACAGCCTGGAAGAAGAGGCCTGGCCGAGAATGGAGGAGTTGGGGCTAGATGAGTCTCAGATGAGAGCTTTCCAGCTGGCCCTCACAAAGGAGCTGACCATCATACAGGGACCTCCTGGCACTGGTGAGGCATTGTAAAGCCATTGTCACAAGGATGACTTCAATCATTGTGAATGAAAAGTGTAAAATGTTTTTCTCACATTTGACAAAATGACAAAATCCAAAAAGTTGCAAAGTTTCACGTTGCTTCTGAAATACATAAAAATTAAGCTACTTTGCTTCCTCAATTTTCTTAGGAAAAACCTATGTTGGCCTTAAGATTGCTCAGGCTCTGTTGACAAATCAGGATCTTTGGAGAGCTAGATTTGGCACGATTCCGATGCTGGTAGTGTGTTACACCAACCATGCCCTGGATCAGTTCCTTGAGGGTAAGCAGTGGAACCAGTTAATAATATCATATATGTTTTACGTGATGTTCAAGTATTTTGGAATTTAAAAACACAGTATCTAGTCAACAAAAGTGGACATATCTATTTCTAGTTCAATCAATAATTATTCGGAGGTGTATTTGTTTATATTCTGAGACATCCACCTCAAGCTTTATTTGATTATTTTGTTTTTGCAAACTCCTGCTCGGTGACCTTGAATGAGCGATGTAAGACAAATGAGCTCTCTGTTTTGGTGGATGTGAAGTGCATTTCGTTTGCCTCTGCATTTAAGGTATTCATACATTTCTGCAAGAGGGCATAGTGAGAGTAGGAGGCCGCAGCAACAGTGAGATCCTGAAGCGTTTCAATCTAAGGGAGTTGACACGCTCACCTGACTTCAGACGTTCATTGCCGCCTTACCTGCGTTCTGCATATAATGAGGTGAGCTGGTGTTGGTGAGCTGCTCACGCTACTCACCAACACTGTGAAACTTAATTTGATGTTTCAAGATGCTTCACACTTTTTTTCTCTCATGCATAGCAAAGGGTTATATAATATATGAAAGAATATAATATGTTTAAATAATTCCCACAAATTTAGCCATTTTATATTCTATTGATGTTGTGTTTTGCACATTTTGGACCTCACCTTTTTGTCTCGCACATGCTCATCACTTTGTCACTGTGTAATTTCTCCACCTAATCAGTGTATTCATAACTGGTCTTAACAGATTTACAGGGAGCTGTGTCAGGAGGAGAGGAGGATCCAGAGTCAGAGTATGAGGCTGGAGTGTTCTCTGAAAGGCGTCCTGCGTGAAAGCTTCTTACAGAGGTTCATTTCAGACATACACTGGGACAGTCTGCATCTTCCACCTGTGAGTAATACTGATTTAAAAAAAAAACAAGTATATGTGTAAACTGAGCTAGACAGAATAGAAGAATGTAAGCTCATCCGTTTGTGTTTATGAAATGATTTGTAGACACAGGATGGTTTTGAGACCTGGAGTGAGAAGAAGTCCAGTCTGATAATGGAGTGGTTGGGTTTGGGTTCCACCGTCTTCCTGCAGAGGGAGACAGAGAATGCAAACGGAAATGAAGGTAAGGCTTTTAGCCTAAGTGGCGCTTCACTGGAACAATTTTAAGTGATCTGATAATTGGCTTCTTTTCACTGATATGCTGTGCTGTTTACACAGTGTGTGAGAATTCATGAATTTCATTTATAATTACCGAACTGTTGATTATATTTAACCTCATACATCAAACCTTACATATAACCTCAATTTAAAAAATGTGGATGTTTGATAAAATATATGCTGAAATGGAAAATATAACCTAGCAGCAGGAAGCCATAAGAACTTTTGTAGACTGTTTTCTGGAATACACCCAGGTATTTATTGCATTGGTTGTGATTGTGGCATAAAACATAAAGCAGTACTTGTCTTGCAGCCAAATATCAGTTAAATATGGACAGTTACTTTGGAAATGAAACTGGATTTTGTCATTGTGTTTTCACTTCCAGTCCACAGCAGTTTGTAAGAACACTAGCCGCTATCTTTCTGTTTTTCAGACCCTTTTGTTTTGTTGTGTGTTGTTATGCTTCATGCAACTTTGTAAGTTGTCTCTCAAACCTAAAATTCAGTACATGAAGTTAATGAAACCATTCTCATACTGATTCTGACCGCAATGTGTTAGATACAGGAGGAGCAGAAGCAATGGAGCTGGACGAAGAGGACCTCATTGAAGTCGCAGAGGAAGCAGATCTGATCCAGGCAGAGAGGATCATTGAAGACAACATTGGCCCCAGAGTTGGTAGAGATGGCAAGAAGAAGGGAGACAACGATGAGGCTGTCAGAGCGTTAGAAGAACTGATGCTGGCTATGAACCTGGATAAAACTGAAATACAGGCTGAGCAGAGCGAGGAGGGATGGGAGGTAAAATTAGGAGATTTTCAATTAGAGATTATAATGAGTTTAACATTTCATGAGTTTTTGCAATCCCTATTCAATCAGACAAATTGATTTAGAATGCTATTATACAGGCCAATAGTAAACTGGTTTGAGAGGAGTAGATACATGCACATGCCTACAGTAATTCTAAGAGCTATATAATACAGTTGCTGTACTGTATTTAACTTTTCCTCGCTTTTCGTCCCAAAACGGAGGTCTTGAGGTCTAACCAATGTGCTGAATGTGTTACCTTCCACAGAAAACATCTGAAAAGATGTTTATTGAAAGAATTTGTAACATGCATTGCTTACATTCATGTTTTCTTGTTAGCAGCTCGCATTTCTTGGCAAATTGCTTCATTTCTTGGCACATCACTAAAGCCATTGGCAGGATTGTGCCTTGCGGGTCACGCACACATAAAAGCAGGTGACGTGACCTGCTTTGACGCATGCATGCTCGGTGGCCTTGTACTACATTGTACTTCATAAAAGCATTGCTGTATAGCACTACTGCTGCTCACATATCACTCAGGGTACATTTTAAAGAACAGTGCAGCACCTGCAAAATGCCTTGCTTAAAGGAATGCTTTACCGGCAGAAACACATTTTGAGTATCAAATGCTCACCACCTGTAGGCTTGAAAGGTGGTTCTGAAAGGTTTGTAGCTCGCTTGTTGCAGAGGACGATTTGAATTCACAGCCGTACAGACATACAGTGTATTCAAAGATCCAGAAGGATCCAGATTAGCTTGAATTTAATACACTTCAAGGGTATGAAGTTCAAAGTTGACCTTGTTCTGATCTGTACAGATGCAACGGGACCAGAAGAAAAAGATGAAGAACAAAATCAGGAAAGAGCTGGGGAAGAGCTCCGCTATGACTGATGCAGAGGAAAGTGCTGTCTTAGATATTTGGATGCTTAGCCTGCCAGAGAGATGGAGGCTCTATCGGTAGGTCTGCATCTGTGTTTCACTTTAATTTCCTTTGTTCACTACTAAACATTTTTCAACTCTTACTTTCCATTGACTCTCCTGGTACCTTGCTTATATTTCTGTTCTCCTTTCCTCCTTTTTAATTTTTCTTCCTTCCTCTCCCTCACTTCTTCTCCTTCCCCAAGCTATCAGTCTATCAGTCTGCTAGAACTAGTCTATTCCCAGTGTGTGTAATTAAGTCAACTAATCACCAGGAAAATGTATCCCAGAGGATCTTCTCACCTCAGAGAGCCAAGATGCAACTTCTATTACTGTGAAAACAGGACTATAACGACTTATGTTTACATAATCTTAATTATCATTTAAAAAACAAATAGGGCAATTTCCTTCCAAGACAGATCTAATATGTCTTGCTGTAAGTGGTTAATTATACTTACAGAACAATCAAGAATGACAGCATCATATTTTTTGACCTTGGGTCTGAGTATTCTTCCAGATGCTATGCAAATAATGAGAGTCTTCAGGCTTCGTTGTAATTGAATCAGTTGTCACAGTGTTTTAACATTATTAATTTACTTTGTGTCTGCAGGTTGTGGGTGGCACGCTACAGGGTAGAAGTTTGCACCAGAGTCCTAGAGTCAGAACAGGCCTATCAGACTGCAGTGGACAGATTGGCTGATGTAAAACGCCAAGAGAACCTCTGTGTCCTCAAGGAAGCCACGGTACAGTATAATTGCAGTAATAGATAATATGAAATTGGGCTGGGCACTATCGCAATAAAAAGGTTCAAAATATTTGAAATTGATAATTATCATGATGGAATGTCAAATCCTTATTCATTACAAGTTTAAAGGCTGTTTTTTTTCTCCTGAGTGAAAGTTGAAGAAACCAGATGGTTGTGGTTTTAAAATATCTACTATCTGAGGTAGAGCATGCAAAACAAGTATGATAAAATCTTCTTTTCAACAAATAGGCATGATTCAAATTAAGTAAAATATTTTTTCAGTCCCTTTTCCTCAACAACAAAAAATATCTTAATAGAAAAATTAAGTACTGATTTGTTTCGTGATTCAAACGAATTAAATCAAACATTTATAGAACATTTTGATATATTGTTGAGGATAATTATATCGCGATAATTATCATTATTGTTTTATTGCCCAGCCCTAGTATAAATAGTATTTTTTTATAATGATCCTGAAGTAGATTCTTCTTTTTTATTCAAACCATTATCACAGTGAGGTAAGTAAGACACTTCTTTGAATTCATGTCATCAGCTTAATGTTGCCTACAGTGCAATATCTGGAGAGGATAATGGAGCATTTTGCTTTACTTTGCCTTGATACATACACATTATGATAGTGTGCCTTGCGGTCTTGTGGTCTTGTGTGAAGTGCTCACTATATTTAGAAGTCTGGACCTGGGTAAACCAAAGGAACGAAAGTAGCGAAAATGCTTCAGTCTCTTGATCACTGTGAACCAAAAGTGTCCTTAGTATTTCCTAAAAATGTCAAAGGATTGCTTTAATAAAGCAGTGTAAAATATACCTGGTGGAATTGAAGGGAATGGTGCATTTGAAATAATACATGTTGTACTTTTAAATTATAAAAAGGAAGTTAACTGTGGGGCAAACTGTGGGTCTTGGATATAACAGGTTCATGGAAAGGAGCCGGCATTGTAGTGTCTTGGTATAAGCCCCCCAAAACTCATAACACCATCAAATAGGCTGGCAGCAATACAACTGTTGGTTGTTATTAATCACAAAAATAGCAGAGGTGTGTATTTAAATCATATGTTTCCCATCAGGTTATTGGCATGACAACCACAGGGGCGGCCAAGTTCCGTAAAGTTCTGCAGGACGTGCGTCCACGTCTGGTGATTGTAGAAGAGGCTGCAGAGGTTCTCGAGGCCCACACCATCACCACACTGAGTGAAGCATGCCAACACCTCATCCTCATTGGAGACCACCAGCAGGTAAGAATCCACACAGAGAAATAGGGCCATGTTTCCTAAATTCTTAGTGGCATATCATTAAACTGGTGTATTTTAATAAACCATTGTGCTCTGACTGAAATTACCCTATTTACATGCCTAGGTGAAAATTTAATTCATGTCGTGCCCTCAGTCATGAGGGATTTTTTGTATTTGTGTGTTTGTCTGTAAGTTTGTGTGTAATGCTTTGGTCGTAATGGCAAAAAATCATCCCAATGCCAGCCATTACGAGAGAAAGAGGAGAGCGAGGAGTGATATGCTGGACATCAGTAGACTATTACAAGAACTTGTCAGGGCCTGCCAAGGACATATGGCCAGGCAGCCTGTCTAGCAATCTGCAGAATGCGATCACGACTACGCACAATTCTGTCAGACATCTCAATATTCTGTCCTGGTCTTTTCTAGCTGTGTAACTTCTGTCTGCTCTTTTCCTAATATTTGCTTGTTATACTGCGTTTTATGCATGAATGTATGCATGCACTTGACTACACAAACAGACCTGACTTCCTTGCAGTTGTACTGAAACTTTGGCAAGTACAGGAATAGAATTTAAAATAGAGTTTTACTTGAATATTGTTTTTATTGTAAACCAGGCTTGGAAATCACTGGTCATTTTTATATATCAGATTAATGAAAAAGTAATTTACCACTTTGCCTCAGGCTCCATTCAATGCTTTAGGGGATGCAATTTAACTTATGTTGACTTAAAGTGCAAAATAAATCAATCAACATTATAGTATGTCTGATTTATCAAACTACATGAGGTTTTCTGATGGCACAAATATGAGTTAAAGTTTTTTCATGGGTTTAAAGCCATTTGATAGTATTTATTTTCACTCTATGAACAAGTGTTCAGAGCTTTGTTTTTGTGGAGCCCAAAGTTGAATCTGTGCATATAATGGAGGTGGATGGATCACACTTTCTGAGTAAAATAAGCTTTGGCATTGTTGTGCTGTTCATTAATCACAGGTTTGGTGTTGAATCGAGCAGAACACAATGCTTCACATTTATACTAGAATTTTCTTGCCTCCCCCACACCCCTCCCACGTACATGCACAATCACACTCTGTCCTCTAGCTAAAGTAGGCTTGCAATCACACGCAGACACTTACACGTACACACACAAACACACATACAGGCAAAACTTAACAGGACAGCAAAAAAAAAAGTTAGATATCATTTGCATACATTCAGTATTCCTGGCCACTTACCCTAAAACAGAAACCCATGCAAAATATTGTTTTTCCCTTCTAGGCTTGCTCCTGTATAGATGGTTGCTTCCACCTGTGTCCAGGAACTGTGTAAAAAATCTTCACAAGCATTTACATAACGGGAAATGGTCTGACCACCTGACCTTGAAAGTCATTCCTCTATTCATCACTTAGATGGTCTTTTATACACTTACATTTTCCAAAAAGAAGAGCGTAAACCTACCAAATTTACTTAATCACCACTATATGGAAGAAGCCAAGAGCTGTAAATAAGCAAGTCTGAGGGTACACATATGCATATTATACAGCATGTTTTCTAGATGAGAAAATGCTATATTGATCATAAAAGCACATTTCTTGCCCTAAAACCTCTCTATTAGGCCACAAGAAGACCACAAGTTCTTAATTTGTACAAAAAAACAATAACTAAGGCATAATTTCTCTTTTTTCTTAACGATGCATAAAAACTGTATAAAATAAACATGTGATTTTTCCTTTAGCTGCGCCCCAGTGCCACAGTATATGATCTTGCTAAGAACTTCCACCTGGAAATGTCCATGTTTGAGAGGCTGGTGAAGATGGGACTACCTTTTGTCAGACTCAACTACCAGGTTTGTGTTTCTGCATCTATTAATGTGTTAATCTTATCGCAGGATCAATCAATAAAATGTAGACATGTTCAGATGATGCCTTTAAAGACAAAGTTCAGAGCATTACACTTTAATTGGTATGACTGTAGGTACCTTTGTTTATCTGTGTTTGTTTCTTTTTTATCTTCAGCATCGCATGAGGCCTGACATTGCCCGTCTTCTGACCCCACACATCTACTCAGAGCTCGAAAACCATCCCTCTGTGTTGGACTATGAGAACATCAAGGTGCGTATTGTATTTGTTCTCCTACTGTTTCCATTTTCCATTTTTTTAGCAGTGAATATTTGTTTACTTGCCTGCATGGGTAAAAGGTATCTGCATTTGTCTCTGACTTTTAAATGTATTTTGAGTGAAAGTTGGGCAATGTATTAGGAATACTGAATTCAAAAGATAGTCTGTCAAAGAATAACATAATATGTTTTTTTTAATTAAATGCTGTCTTATAGGGCCTTAATACCAATTTATTCTTTGTGGAGCACAACTACCCTGAAGAAGAGATCAAAGATGGGAAAAGCCATGAGAACCGACATGAGGCAATGTTTGTAGTCGCTCTTTGCCGGTATCTTCTCTTTCAAGACTACAAACCAGAGCAAATTACTATCCTGACGACTTATACCGGCCAGCTCTACTGTCTGCGCAAACTTATGCCTGCCAGCCAGTTCACAGGTGTCAAAGTGCACGTAGTGGACAAGTACCAGGGAGAAGAGAATGACATTGTCTTGTTGTCACTGGTTCGCAGCAACCTGCAGGGTAAAGTGGCTTTTTAAACATTCCCAACCGTGTCTGTGTAGCCTTGTCTCGTGCCAAGAAAGGTCTCTACTGTATTGGCAACAGTACAATGCTGGGCCAAGTCAAACTGTGGAGCAACATCTTCTACACCTTGAGGGAAAAGGACCAGGTTGGGAATGCTCTGACCCTGTGCTGTCAGAATCATCCAAATCGACAGGTAACAGCTTCTCACGCTAATGATTTCAAACAAGCCCCTGAGGGGGGCTGCACCCAGCCTTGCAAGTTCCGTTTGGATTGTGGTCATGTTTGCTCAAGAGTCTGCCACCCTTATGACCCTGAGCACAAGGAGTACAAGTGTGGCAAGAAGTGCCAGAAGATTTTATGTGATCTGGGACACAGGTGCACACTTGTGTGCCATAAAGCATGCCCAAAGAAATGTCCCGTGAAGGTTGAGAAGATCATACCCCAGTGCCAACACACACAGATGGTTCCTTGCCACCAGGACCCGAAGACATTTGTATGCCAAGAGCCTTGCCAGAAGCTTCTTCACTGTGGACATCCATGTGATTCGTTGTGTGGGGAAACATGCACCAGTATGTGCAAGGTGAAGGTCACCATAAAACTAAGGTGTGGCCATGACCAGCAAGATGCTTGTTTTTATAAAACACAGAAAGAGGAGCCTGAATGTAGGACCCGGTGTGAACATCAGCTAAAATGTGGCCATGCCTGCTGTGGTACCTGTGGCAAGTGTTATCAGGGACGGTTCCATTTCCAATGTTCACACCAGTGTGAGCGTCTCCTGATTTGCTCTCACAAGTGCAGGGAGCCTTGCACTCGTGATTGCCCCCCTTGTCAGAGACCATGTGAGAATTGCTGTGTCCACAGCAATTGTAAGAAGCCATGTGGACAGCCCTGTGCTCCATGTATTGAGCCCTGCACTTGGCAGTGCCCTCACCAAAGCTGCAATAAGCTCTGCCATGAGCCATGCGATCGTCCGCCATGCACCGAACCCTGTGACAAGACCCTGGATTGTGGCCACCCATGCATAGGTCTGTGTGGAGACAAATGTCCAACCAAATGTCGCATCTGTAATTACAATGAGGTCACAGAGATTTTCTTTGGCACTGAGGATGAGCCTGATGCTCACTTCATCCAGCTAGAGGACTGTGGACACATCGTTGAATACACAGCCATGGACACATACATGGGGATGGATGATAGCCAGCAGGCAAATGGAGAAGAACAGGTGGTCATAAAACTGAAGGAATGTCCGAAGTGTCGAACTCCAATCCGCAAAAATCTACGCTATGGATCTCAAATCAACAGCAGTCTGGCTGAAATCGAGATCGTAAAGGCAAAGATAAATGGATGTCAGGCAGATATTGAAGTACACAAGAAGGCCCTTCAACATCAGTGGAAGGAAAACCTTCTCACATATGAAATGCATCAGCAAAATGAATATATGCGTATCAATGACAGACTGGGAAAAAGTTATCTCACAGCAAATGATCTGTGGATCCTGGAAAACAAGATGTATTTCTTAGTAAGAGTTGCAAAGCTACGGAAGATCCAAAGGGAAAACATGTCATTCAGGCAAAGCTCCAGATTAGAAAAGTGTTTTGAGGAGTTTGTGCGCTGGCTCGGCAACAGCCACCAAAAATTCACAGAGCAGCAGGTCTTTGATTTGCAGAGGGAGTTACAGAGACTCACCCTCCTGACTGAACTCAACGCCCGTTGCCATATGGCAGACAAGAGATGTCAAAGTGACAAATTTCAATCTGAGGTACAAACAATAAGAGCGGTTTTGGAAAAGTCTGACCAATTCACTGAGCAAGATCAACACAGAGTGAAAGAAGCCATGAAGGAACTCGTCAAAAAGTTTCCACTCCCAGGCTTGGGGATCAGTGAGGAGGAGAGAAAGATGATTGTCTCGGCTGTGAAAATGCCGCTCGGACACTGGTACAAATGTCCTAATGGCCATGTCTATCTTATAACAGACTGTGGAGGGGCTATGGAGAGTCGATGCTGCCCTGATTGCAATGCTACTATTGGTGGGAGCAATCACAGACTGGCAAGTGGCAACCAAGTTGCCTCTGAGATGGATGGGGCACAGCACCCTGCTTGGTCTGAAACCAACAACCTGCTAAACTTTAATCAATTTGGCTTCTGAAAGTTGTTTGCTGTTGCTTTCTCAGTCCCAACTGTTAAGAAAACATCAAAAGTGCAAAGAAATAACTTCTGTTATGAATTGACCCTATATAAATAAAACTGAATTGAATATGAGTGGCAACAGGTCGTGGTTTTACTGTAAAGACCACTTTAATCAATGCTGGAGGGATCTCTACAAAAGTTACTGTGCTCTGTAATTAAAGGGAGATAATGCAGCTGTCTATTTCATTTTGCTGCAATCAAGTCACGTGAGTGATGAATGGGGCAGAGCACTCTGCTTAAGACCATAATCTCCTTGCATGAAACTGACTTTTAAAATCCTTTACTGAAAATACAGACTTTAGTAGGAATAGCAATAATCTGTGACAATTTTATATCAACAAATATTCACTTTGTTACTTTCTGTCATGCCATCACTGTAATGACTTTGCTTTAGACTTTGTGGGTAGTGGTTTTGTTTGTTTTGTGTTTTGTTTTTTTAAAAAAAAAAGCATTTTCTGCAGAAATCATGTTCCAAGAATCTGTAACAAGTTTTTAATCAAATATGTAACTCTTTCATACTGTATGTCCAAGATTCCTTGTGTAACAGTCCTGTACCTTAACAATAGGTGGCAGTAGAACACTGTAAAAGAATACAAAGAAATTACTTGATAGTTATGCTTGCAACTTGCTAAAATGGAATAAAATGTATCTGAATCTATGAGCATATTCTTTCTTAATTTTATACACATTCCATAATGTAAGAAATACTATCATATGTATATTTTTTTGTATTTTATATATGGGCCTTCATTAGCATTAAGTTCAGCACAAAGGATTAACATGTAAACTTGTAATGCTGCTACTACAAGACGTGTGTATGTAGAATGTGGATACAAGGAATAATACCTATTTTTATTTCACTTTTAGATTGGCTGATTTGTAGAAATATTAACCACCTAATGCATTAAAACATAAACATTCCTCACATTACAAATTTAAATTCTCTCTCCAACCCTTCCTGTCTCTCTCTCTCACACACACACATGCACACACTAAACTGTTACTAGCAAGAGTTAATCATTTGCTTCCATAACAGGACATCATTGGCACGGAAGCCAAAAGAACAACCCTGAAATAAATACAATTCCTCTTCACTACTGTACAGGACTCATCACTGAGTTTCATTTCGGCATTTTGTAACAGCTTGCATCATTTTATTGCATGATGAATGTGTCCCTGTCACAAAACCAGCTCCAATGCAAACTGTGCTGTCTGCAATAGGGGAGAAAAAGAACAACAAAAATGTACTGTCAAGACAAGTGTTAAAATTGAGCAAACTTTAAAAGGGTGCCACTCTTTCAGAATTTATAGGATTCAAGCACCAGGCTGAATGAGAGTTGGACGAAAGGCATTGCAGAAAAATGGTAATATCCTACAGGGTGGACTATCTCATCTATCATGTCAGGTGGCCTTAAAATATATTATTGTCAGAGTTTCAGCTAGTCTGGCCCTGTAATAAAACCTACCAACTACTATTGTTTGATTACTGTCTCTATCAGAACTGATAAGACCGTGTGGGTGGAAAAAGCATAGTTGAAACAAGGAGGAGCTGACAGGCCAAGCAGTGATCTGTGAAGAGAAACAACTGCAAGGAAGGTTAAACATCCTCAAAGGAACATTTGCTTTAAAAAGAGGTGCCATCTACAATTTTTCCTCACATTAGAACTACAATAGAGATTTTGTGAAATTGTTACACCTCGTTCAGGGAAGTATGCAATAAAAATGTAATTAAGTGACAAAAGTATAGAAACATGAACGCAAATGTATGATGTAAGAGATGAAGTTTGATGATCTTGGCACGGTCACCCTGACAACTTCAACATATAGTCACACTGGTTATGTTGTATGCAAGTAAAGAGTGGGAGTTGGAAACATCAGTGTCACCTCACCTCACCCCTTATCTTTTAACTGTTAGAAGCAACAGTTAGCCAGCTTATTGTCAGAAGTCATGTTGAAAATGTAAATCTCAGGTTCCAAAATGCATTGAAAAGACATCTTGCCAGTAAAAACATTTCAGGATGAGTGAGCTTAGCAATATGTGTTCATCCTACCCAAGGGAAGCCATTGCTTCATATACAATGAAAATGGTGTCTATTGCGAAGGTGACTGAAACTTAAATTTTCACAACAAACATGTCTATTTTGAGAATTATTCCCACGGCACAGAGGTGATGTTACGAACCTGCTCATTGTAGAGAGCAGTAACATTTGATTGGGATTGAAAATGAGGTGGAAACGACAACTGGAATGTTTCTGGTTAATGTTAACATGTTTAATTAACCATGGGACCATGTGCAAGAAATATAACCAAACAAGAGCAGTAGGTGCTGACAAAAAGCTGTTAACAAATAAAACAAAAGAGGGTCTTATCCGAAGACAGTTAATTAGCTTTCGGCTCAAAATACACTTGTTATACCATAGAAAAGTGGTCAGCAACCGTAAGCTTACAAAAACAAATACAAACTAGCAGATATTCTGCAAACACAGATTCTGAGGTCTCAACTGAGAGTGTCCAACACTTGGTAAACTACAACGAAACAAAGTGAATTACAAATGGACCTCTACAATGACTGAAGCCACTCTGACAGGGAACGGACAGGCAACACTATGAAATACAAACACTAAACACTCTCTGGACAAATCACAATGATACGCAACCCCATGGTAAGGCGGACTGACCACTGGTTCACAGCTGTCCTGAGCTGTGGACACACAAGCTCTTTAAGGTGCAGTTGAGGTTGATTGAAGACTTCTAATTGGTAGGTTCAGTCCGACCATAGCTACACCAATCACTGACACCAGCGAACAGCAACCAGAATGAAGGCGGTCTCATCTCCAGAGGGGCCAATCATCCACAGCTAGGTTTGCATAAACAGCAGACACTCTAATGGGACCAACAAAATTAATACACACTAAATGGCAGTCAGGCGGCCTTAACAGTGACAACAAAAAAAACTACTGAAATTTTTATATTTAGCTACCAGCTACCACCAACAAAGTGTAGTAAGAGAAGGTAATGGAACCAGGATTTTCAAAAATCCTTTGGTTAAACAACAAGGTGTTACTTCTTCCATTAATACACAAATGCTTTTTGTGTGTGTAAGTTCAGAAGTTCTTATAACTTGAATATCCACCAATCTGTGTGGTTAATGAGGAGCTGGGAAGATACCAACAATGTGTTGTAGTTAAAGAGGTACTTTTTTGGCTTTTTAGGGAAGGCTGCCAGACATCTAATCTCAGTTGAATAATGTATGGCTATTTGCTTAACTCTTTATTGAACATGTTAAAAGACAACAACAACAACAAAAAACAAAATAAAAACAAACAATCAACAAAAAAGATCATCAGCAGATGATCCAAATAACGGTCATGTTCAAAGGGGGTAGGAAAAAGTTGGAATAACATTTCTTGTCCTATCCCCACTTCAATGATATATTTATTTTTATTTTTTTTTAATAAATAGAAATATTCAAACTAAATAAAAATCAACAAAAAGAAAATCACTGTTCCAGCTCATATCCGTCAAGGATTCTTTTTTTATATAGAAATTTCAGTTGCAATATATTTTTACATAACTTTAAACCGTTATTACTGTTGTTCCACAGGATAACACCCTGGGTTGTTATACAGCTAACTATTTGTTCGACTTAACGGTTTACTAAACATTGATATTCCTCTGAAATTGTACGTGTTTTCACGTAGTTGAAAAAGCTCTTTGATATTTCTAGGCAATTGGCTATTGTGCACATAATAGAATAGTTTTGTATTAATGTGTATATCTCTGGTGTATGTGTTTCACTTGCAGGTTAAGCAGATGACTGTAGTTTGTCTTATCTCTGCCTCACACAAAAATTTGACAACATCAGGTACTTGAAACTAATTTTTCAGTAAAGGTTGATCAATTCTGTTCATTCAAAAGTGGCAAAGCAAGCTCCAAAGTCTGTCAGCATGAGATGTTGATGCTGAATTTAAATAGGAGTTTATATTGAAAAAGTTGGCCTGGGAACCAGACCAATCTGTGAGCTCATGTTTTATTTGCTCTGTAATTTGCATTTGCAAATTGGCCTGGCGATGTCAGGCTATGAAAAACTACCTTTTGTATGAAAAGTGAAATTACAGACGGCTTATTTGAAACTTGGGTTAACAAGAATCTCCAAGGCCACTGGTAGATATAAAGGCTTGGCTAGGAGTCAGAGGTCTGCAGTCTTTAGTGTGATAATAGTTTGAATGCAAAGATGTGATTATAATGATGAATAGCAGAAAATACTTGACAAAGTATTATTTAAACCATTCTTTTGTTATTAAAGTTGAATAAATCAGATGTTATGGGTAAATTAGGTGTCTTAAAGAATGTTCAACTTTTGTTTATATACTGCATTTCATTCCTGCCAGACATCCTTGTTTCATTATTTTTGTATTGTGTGTTTTGTTTTGTCAATAAAATCTAAATCAGAATTTTAAATGTTTTATGTTTCTATTTGTTAGCTGGACTTGATGGTATAATTTTCACCTCGTTGCAGTTAAAATGTAGCCAGAGAAAAAAAGCCCAGTATTACTCTACCCCTGAGACAATGCAACAAGGTCTATATTCACAGAATGAACTGTTGGTATTATGTTGGCTGCAAGGGTAATTGGTTTGTATTATCAGAAAATTGCTTATTAATGTTCCCTTGGAGGCTTTTCATCAGTAAAGCTGGTTGAGGTCCAAGGTTTCTACGTAGACAGAAACTGTGTGTGATGCAGTGTCATAGGTGGAATACACAACAACTATGCTCTTTTAGCAGAAGATCTAAAGCAAAGTGACTAAAAGATTAGCTTTAAGTATCATGTGTTACCTTCATATGGGATGAATTGTGTCTCCAGTTAAAATAATAAATGAGAGGTTTGAGAATGTTTTGATAGAAAGGACAACACCACTTTACAACACAATGTTGTACATATTTAGTAAGGAACAACCTAATAAGTGATTAATCCTTAACAAGTACTGTAGTTCCAGAATAACTAAGAATCAAAGACTATATATTTGTTAATAATGAGTTACTAAAACAGAGTGGGAGATACCATATTAATGAATCATTAGGTAATGATTAGTTCATAAATATCTGTGAAACACATGCAGACCACTTCATTCATAAGTCACTTCTGATTACCAAATGAACCTGACACTGAGCGGCACAAAACTAGTAAAGACTCATTAATTACCCATTACTTAATTATTAGTTGGGCACCCTTAAGTAAGGTGATGCATCAAGTAGGACAAGTAGCTACTGAGTTTTAACTGGGAAATTCACAATTAGTGAACCAGAAACAGCAGGATTCACAATAAAATCATCCTATTCAGACCACATAAACATTCATATTTACATCCATGTCATATTCTGCATTATAAGTGCTGCTGATGCCTAAAATGTCATAAACAGGGTATGACCATGGAGATGATTGGAAAGGCCATAACTCCAAACAAAAACTGCTTTCACAAAGAGAAATGCCAGGCAAAATAATAGCCTAAAAATAAACTGGCTCATGAATGAGCTGAAAAAAATCAAAAGGGATGGTTATTGTTGATGATTGTTATATTGGATTTTACCTTCTCCAATCCAGTAAATAGATTTTGGAGACGATGAATGGAAAAAAGACACTTTACTGTTCCCCTCCCCAA